GGCTGCACTGGCGGCTGCCGCGGGAGGGAGCTGGGCGCTGCAGGGAGACCTGGAGCGGGTCCCAGAGCGGCTGCCGCTTACTGACTGAGGCCCTTGGTAGTGTGCGGGCCCCTGCCAGGGCCACAGCGGCGGGAGAAGAGGACACAAACAACCCGTTATAAAAATAGCTCTTTAATTGTAAAGCATTCACAGTAGAGGTGCCTGCCTGCCTGGGAGCAGGGCTTGTGCCCGCTGGTACATGGGTGTGTTGCTGCTGTCTGCCTCCATGGGCTGCATGGTCACTTCAGGCTTCAACAGCAGCCAGTCCTTCCCCTGTGGGCACCTTCCTGGGTACTCAGAGCACAGCTCAGCATCCGGCTGTGAGCTGGGATTAGGGTGTGAGCCCTTTGCACAGCCTCACCGGGACCCGCACTGAGGGTCTGTGCCACCTGCCTGGCCTTGCTTGCACAAGTCCTTGGCCAGGTCATGGAAGAAGAAGCGCAGCTTGCCCTGCACCAGCTGCCGGTAAGTGAGGAAGATGCCAGTGATGTGGGTCTGCTCCATGGAGCGCGGGGAGCAGCCTGACTCCCAGGGTCCTGCCTGTGGACAAGGTTGAGAGTGGGAGGTGACAAGTGCCGCCATATCCAGCGTAGTGCAGCCAGCACTGCACCAGGGTGTTCTGGCTCATATGGGGAGGCCTCACCTCCCAGCCGAAGGTCTGCAGGAGCAGAAGGAAGGTGTTGGCGTGTTGGTAGAGCTGGCTCAGCTGCCTGGCCCCGCATGGCTCAGTCACTTGGCCCTGGGCGCCTGCCGTAGCACCCACCAACAGTGCCAGGTCACACAGAATCTCCCGCCGCTTGGTCTCGTTCTGTGGGAGCAGGCAGCAAGCAGGGTCATCCCAGGTCTGGCTCATTTCTATGCTCCCACCCTAGGTCTGAACAGGGTTTCTCCACCCCCCTGTACTACCAGGTGTGCCCACAGGCATCTTGTTTGGCACTTACAGTGCCTGTGCCAAACCAGGGTTTCTTTCTTCAGCCCCGTGAGCACCCCAGTGTCAGCACCATCCTCCCAGCCCCTCTCACCGATTTGGATTTCCACTGCTGGAGGTTGAAGTCCACCAAGGGCAGCACTGCAGGACAGCTGAGTGCAGGCATCACCTGGCACTGGCCCTGTGGGGGGACAGGACATGTCCTGCGGTGAGATACCGGGAGCTGTGCCCATCCCTGGTCTTGGGTTCTGGGGGGACTGTATCCTCACCAGTCTCTTTTCCATGTCCTTGGCCTCCCCAATGTACTTCTGGATGAGTCTGTTGTCACAGACCAGCCGTGTTGGGCTGGCATGGCCTTCTTCCATGTGCAGGAGAAAGGATGTGAAGAGGAGCAGTCCTGGTGGAGACTGGGTTACCTTGAGTAACATGCCACCCTCCCTGTGCAGGTCCATCCCTGGGCCATGCCTGCAGTGGCAACCCTCACCCCAGCCCAGTGGCAGCTTTGTTGGCCCCATAGTAGCGGTGCAGGGAGAGGTGTAGGGGGGCTGAGGAGGGCCTGAGGTGCTTGCACCCCTGTCAGTCAGCAGAGGCACTGGGAAGAGCCAGTGTTTCCATGCTGGTGGTATGTGCCAAGGAGCCGCACAGCCATGTCTGTACCAGGTTTTTCAGCTCTGCTTTGGGCTGGGCTGTGAGCAGGGAGCAGAGCCACATTCCCTGTGCAGCCAGGGCCAGCCCTCCAGATCTGTGCCAGGAGCAGCTCTGGGTGTCACGTGCGCTTTGGGGAATCCCTGCCTGCAGCATCCTGCTTGCCAGTGCTCTGGCCAAGAGCTTGCCTTCCCCAGCACTGCTGGCACATTGCTGCCAAGTATGTCTCTTGGCCGGGCAGGTGCAGCATCCTCGCAATAGACCTTTCCTTTCCAAACACCCTCTGTGCATCCACCTGGCTTGGCACTACGCCTGTCCCCAAAAGCCCTTGGCACAGCCTGTTTCCCTAGGACAGGCAGGGAGAGGTGCTTGGCTGTCCTTGAGCACTGGTAGGAGCCAGGTCCAACCAAACCAGAGCCGCACTTGGGGTTTGCTGCTCACCTGTGGGGCTTGCTGCCCACCTGTGGGGCTCATCTCTTGGGGTCATGCAGGGGATGCTCAGGCTGTACAGCCATGGTGTCTGCTGCGAACACAATGCCCTTTCATGCTCACTCCCGTCCCCCCTTTTTTTGGCTGCACACTCACTGTTCAGCTCCATGCTCAGCTGGGGGCTTCGGCCCTGCATCTTCCACCCTGGGGCCAGCAGCTGCTCCCTGCCTCCTGTCCCCCTTCCATGGAAGGCAGTGGTGGCGCGGGCTCCCCGCGAGCTGCCCAGTGGGAATGGAAGGCTGGGGGCCGGGATCGCCCCCGGGATGGGATGGGACAGCACAGCGCAGCACTCTGGCTCCGGCCTGGCCGCCCAGCTGAGGCAGTGCGATTTCCTGTTGTGTCGCCACTGACCTTCAAGCAAAATCGCAGCAGGGGCCCGGGGGACGGCTTCCTGCCTCCGTCCGCTTCCTCCCTTGGCGTGGGGCGCGGGAAGGGCGTCCCCAGGGCTGCTCACCTGGCCCCTGGCCTGAGTGCTTGGCTGCTGGGACTCCAGTGGTCAGCGCCTTGGCTGTGCCTGGCCAGGGGGTGAGGGTGGCTGTGGTACCTGCAGAACAGATGGCATGGGTGACCCTGAGCTGTGTGACCTGGGTATCATCATCCCTGACAGGGTCCTGCTCCTGGCTGTGGCAGCCAGGCATGAAGGCTACCAAAAACCCTCACGAAGACATTGGGTCTAACTCCAGTGCCCCTCAGCTAGAGGTGGAACTGAGCCCCAGTGAACCTTGCCCAGAGGTGGGCTTTGCTCCCTGCCTCCCGCACTGAGATGCGA